AAAAATATTAATTCTTGGAATAGATTATCAAGTGTACTCAATAAAATTCACATTTTACTGTATGCGTAACCTGTTTACCATAAATGAAAACTCGAAATATTAAAACAATAATTTTTTTCTTAGAAGAAATTAAAGTTCAATAATAAATTTTTAATTCTCGTGGTCAGTGGCATAATCAAGTCGCTAAAAAATTTTTTTTATATATATTTATATTCATTTGTATGCACTTTTTTTAAACTCTTTCTAGCTTATAGTCATAGTAATAATTAATAAAGATTCATTAATATCAATAATTTTAGTTATTCTCATGATTTTTTTTTACTGTGTGTTATTATTATTGACAAAACTATTCTTTATAATAGTTTCATAGAAAAAATATTCATTATGATTAAAATATTTTAATAGCGTATTGTATCGAATCCTAAGTTTCATAAATAGTTCAATAAAAATTATTTGGAAAATATATAATATTGAATATATTGCAAAATATAAAATTAAAAAGAAAAAAAAGATATACTAATTGTAAATAATTATTACTATAGTAATTTTTGTAATCCAGTATTACTAAGTCTGGATTTCGATTATCACGGTCAGTTCTTTAACACACACACACACATATATATATATTTCGCCATGAGAATAAATTTATCGAAAAAAACTTAAAGAATATTTCATGATACATGATTTTTATCTATCAGAAAAAAATCTAATGATTTATTATTCTTTGTTGATGACAATTTATTTAGTTATCATAATCCAGAAATACAATTATTTTATAATTATTTGTTCCTAACTGCAAGGAAAAATACCTCATTATAAGGCGATTTTTCTTTTAGATAAACTATTGGATATATCTTGTTTAATAATGAATATTAATAAATGTCTAATAATTTAGTTCATATATGATGTCAGCATTATTTATATTTTGTTAGTAAGTCGTACTATAGATCATTTTTTTACAAATCCAATAAAATATAAATCCTCGGGAATTAATCTCGGCGTTTATCTTTGTAACTTTTTTTTTTTTTAGGTAGTAAATTGTACTGTTAAGCTTTGATCCATGACTGGTTTAATATTACAATAGAGACCCAGCCTATGTAATTAATATTCAACATACGTATACGTTATAAATAATAACGCGTAATAAAGCGTTTAAAAAACAATAATAAGCATAAGCTTCAGTGACTGGTTCGCTTTATAGTATAATATGAAACCGCTCATGATTGCTTATGTGCACGATCGTAAACTTTTGTTGAGGTAGGTTTTCGATGTTGTATACATAGTAATTTATCAGAAGTTTCTTATATCAATGTCACAATAGCTAATTATAATGTTAAAATCATATGATGCAAAAAAACGCCTCGAGTGACTTTTTAATATCTTAAGACCTTCTTTGATTAAAATATATTAAATATAATTGTTTTTCAGAGATTTTATAAAGAATCTATGTAAAAATCGTTCGTGGGATAGGTCAGGAATACTCTCCTAATCACGCACAACAACGACAATTATTTAATTATGAGCTTCAATATTATAATTATAAGTATTCACAGACGAAATACGTTGTGGTACGTTAAATTACTTAGATTAAAAAACAGAATTAATTCAAAACTTGTGTATAAACATTTTTTCATTAAATTATCTTATTAATTAAAACGGGGAATTTATTCATTGCTATATAATATAATTCAATTTCAATGTATATACAAACAACGATAAAAATTAAAGAAGTAATGTTTCCATTTTTAATTGTTTTGCGTTTTACATAAAAAAATATGAAATTGTTTTTTCAACTAAAATTGATGATGACGTGAAAACATGAACGACTTAAATATTAGTTTTATTATTTTTTTTAAATAATCTAAGTTGTTGATATAAAAATCTTTTGTAAAATAGTTATATATGTTGTTAGGGGCTTGTTTAATAGTTGAGGATCTTGGTCAAAACCAAGAATCGGAAGCTACCCGACGTCTGCCCAAATATCGTCCCTATCTCCTTAAATGAGTTTTAATTGCCTGAAGGAGATACAGGCAATCGTGTACCTTAGTTACAGAGGATAGATTATTAAATAAAATTAGACTATTGTTTTATGTCAACGACAAAGTAAAGTTATATTTTAGATGTTTAGTAAATATAAGTTATATGTAATGTACAATACGTCTGACCTGAATCCTAGTACAGTTGGTTAGTAGGGATATCCAAGTGAGACGGAGTTGGTTGGCTATGATGACAATTGGCGATAGACGGGTCGTTGAATAAAACAAGTTAAGTTATAAATAATATAAATAAGATGAAAGTAATAATATTGAAAACTATGTCTATAACGGCCACTCAAACACAACTGCCCTTTGTTAGTTCGACGTCAGTAGCTCCGGACTACAGACGAGTAGAATTGTCACATCAGCATCTCCCTCTATGCTAATTAATATGTATTACGAATTAAATAAATAGAAATAAAACGTGTGTAATATAAGTGGTAAGAACATAGTAATAAATGTTCTTACAATGTGGAATTCATAATTTTTTTTGTCAACCGATTAAACTTTTTATTCAGTCTCATGGTTTACTGTTTTCCATGCAACCGCGGAATCAGCTATGCTATTTTGAAAATTTAGTACCAAGGTTTTCATTGAGTGTTATTTTGTTTTTATTGGTAGTGATGTATGTTCTCCATTAAGGCAGAAAATAATACATTGTAAATAAAATGTTCAGTTAGTGTGTTAGTATGCTGTATAGAATAATTATCTGATAGCTCAAATAATAATAATTTTACAAACTATTTCCACTTTATAATTAGTAGATTGAAATAATATTAGCCACAAGTGATCAATTTTGATTTTTCAATAGTTTTAAGTAAATTTATCAATTAAAAAAAATATATTTTAGAATCTAATAAAAAAATGAACTGACCTTATAAATTTACTTATTGTTTTATTATATTCATGATTTCATCCTACCTAATCATTGCATTAAACGCTAACCAACATTGTCAACGATTCTTATTTAGAATTCCGTGATTGATTTATAGCGAACATAAGTCTTAATGGTCACATAATTGTAGTCCAATTATAGTCCTGTAGTATACAGCTTTAGCATCAAAGAATGGTTACCGTTAATAAGTTTTCCATGTTATATTAAGTCAGACTATGACCCGGGGTATGTGTGCGTCAGTAGTGATTTTAAATGATTTATTTTATATAATTACATTATGGATATTTTATACTACGTTTAAATGTAAACAAGAACGTTAATAAATTGTCCTGACCAATTTACACGTATTATTATTCCGTGACTTATCTTATCATCATAGGACATGGTACTAGAAATTTGATCGCAGTTTAAAAGAATATTTGGGAGTTAAAAAATAATTATCTAATATCGTTGATAAATGGACGCGCCATCATAGCTGCCTTATTTGAGTTTAATAGAACGGACTGCGTTTATTAAAAATGTCACTATATCGAATAGTAATAGTAATAACACAACACAGTCGAACAACAACATAATTTTTATTTTTATTATTATTGAAAAGTAGTTGTATAAATTAGTTCAGAGTAGTTTAATTTAGTTCTTTGTGAATAGAGACAATCAATTGAACTGTAAATGATCAACATCTTACTTTTAGATTAAAACCATTCAAACATTTTACTAAATCGTGTAATTACTCGGTAGAAAATCACCGACACGTACCCGCAGGTATCCAGACATTATTGATAAATAAAAGAATGTACTACAGATTTTTTTCGGTAGGATCGACAAACGCTTGAAGCGGTTTGTGAGCAAAAACCTAATCGTTGCCACACACACCTATACAATATGTCGAAGTGCGCGTGGTTCAGGTGGAATAAATGCTGGCAATATTTATGTTAATTTACAAACGGAAATCCGATAACCGTTATTTAACACTCCATTAGATTAAGAAAAATGAATTAAAATGAACGTCGATTGTTGTTCAAGATAATCATTGCTGCCAACTCTAACACACCTCGCAAACGTTATTATTACAAGTCGGAATGTAACTGAGATCAATTAATCGTTTCCATTCGTGTTAATATTAATTAATAATTGCTATTGAAATACATCGAAGTCTCTGTAGTTATTTCTCAGCAACAATTTGTACATGAACCAACTATATCTGGTCCTATTAAGTATACAGGATGAAAATTGAAGACTTAACATAGATTTCAGTGTATTTACCAAAAATTAATTTTTAAGAAGACGGAAAGAACAAAATGGATTTCTTTTGAGTGATCATATGTACTTTTCGATTTATTTAAAAAACATTTTATGTACTCTTATACATAAATTATGCACATCAATGGTCCTTCTGCAATGAGATTAATGATCCACTTAGAAAAATATTTTTGTTTAAATTATAACATATACCGTCCTTTTTAATGTCTTCGATTGTGTTATGTAAAAAAAAAATTAAATATATTACGAGCAGAAAATTTAAACCACCTATAGTAGTAACGCCAAGAGTAAAATATCAAAATATCAAAATACAAAAATACAATTTTTTTGTTGTGTTCATAAAATATTCGATCATGTAAATAAATTGCTATCAGCTTCGGGGCTCAAACCAATGTATAAAAGACTAGAAATATTCATGTTTTGCTTACTTATGAATAAAATAAAAAAAAACCTTAGGGAATTGACGAAAACAAAATTATATAGGACGATATTTTTAAGATTTGCGCACATATCAATTTATGTCCAACTATCTAACTGCTATAACTTACATTTATCAGATGTAATATGATATATGTCAGTAACTGATTTGATACCGATAATATATGGTTTCAGAAATAAAAAAGATGTAAACATCAATTTGATAAATGTTAATATGTATAAAAATTAAGTTGTACATTTGTTAACTTTTATATTTTAGTACAATGTAATCGTGTATTAGCTACTTATTGCTAACTGCTGACTAAGCATAGAACTTTGCTTAGCCGATTTCGATAACACAACTGTTTTTCATAATTTGTTTCGGTAGACTTTTTACAAGTTCCCAAAAAAACAAGCTTGTGATTGAAACTTTGTGTGCAAAAAATACATATACACAAATTTTATAAATTCGTAAGGTATGACGTGTATTAAAATAATAAATTTTTACTCATAAGTTTTAGTAAAAATAGTTATTTAAATAATTATCGAATTTATACTTTGAATTTGTTCGAAGTCAGTTTTTAATATCGTATATTTTGAAAAACAATCTTAATTAAGATTATTTAGACTCATTGCCCATATTAACAAAATATTAGATGTCATATTATGTTTTACTAATTAAATTCACGCGGGTTTTTATATATTGGGTCTATTACTTCTTAAATTAGATTGCCATACCATAATAGAAGGATCATCAGGCAGGTTCTCTGGGCGCTGAATTTAAAAGCCGAATGTACCTAATAACCGGTGTTTTTTTGACAAGTTGAACAACCACTAGAGAAATTTCACAAAATAAATTATAGCGATTCATTATGATCCATTCATGCTGAGTAAAAAGTAAGCTGCAACTGCGTTGTAAATAAATCGCTCCTCCGACCCGTTTCGGTAAACAGTTATATACAAATAGTTTTCTTAACTATCATTCACGAAGTTTATGGTACCCGTAACAAAACCAACTAATATTAATCAATATAACATTTTTTGCATTAATGAATAATTTTATCAGTATAGTTTTTAATATTTGAACTGTAACATTTTTAATATGAACTTAAAAAAATGTTTAAATTTAAACTGAGATTTTGTGTTATTAAGATCTTATTCATGTCATGATATCGAATAAGTTTAATAAATTAAGATTTTTCATAAATAAATTATTTATGAGCGAATGCTATTTATTAATTAATGTCGAAACATTTTTGTTTCTGCTTGTTATGACAACTAATCGGTGATTATGGTTAAGCATGTTTTTAAAACATGCTTTACTGGAATCGGCAGTGATTAAAGTTAGTATAAGACTTACGGGGTTAGTCCATTAAATGCTGTCATACAGCTAGTTAGATTTTATGAATGAGACCGTTAAAAAGAAGCGGTTCCGGTAAACGGTAACGAGACGATGTGTGTATAGTTTTTTTAGTTATTATTATCTATTCTAGTTTTTTCCGTTGTTGTAAGGTAAATATTGTCTCGAATCGTGTATTCGAGACAATACACTGAGCTGAATAAAAATTGTCAATGAACGAACGTTTTTGGTACACACTTCAATACGAATCGGACACACCAGTGAATATAGGAAAACTTGTCCACGATAGCTCAGTTAAAAAATTAAAAATATGATCTCTAAAACTTATATGTGTAGTATACAATGAATATATTTTGTATTGTTAAATTGTAATAAAAAAATACGCAGGATAAAAAATAAATCATGCCGTTGTGAGATTCAATTTTATTACAAACATCGTTAGCACACTTCAGTTCATTGTCTTCCAACAAAAGTCATCTTTATGGACCTAATGATCTGACTTCGTTATGTGTTCAACGATGATTATTAATCACTCAAACGATTACAGTAGTAGACATCAATGTCATTAATTTTAATATTTTAATGTTAACAGAGGTAACATTATTTGCTGTTAGAACATTTTATAGAATTATTAAATATTATTATCGCAATATAATTTGAACAATGTACAAGAGTTAAAACGTAAGAAAAAACGTAGTTCTTTTATTTTAATTTAATTTTAAACAAATATAAAATACTTTTGATAGTTCTCCTAATAGTATTTTTTTTAAATATAAAATATGCATTTTCTGGCTACTTATGGATTCGTTGTATTTTTATGCAAAATTTTGAAGCTTCTCTTTATCTGGTCAAATATTTATAACAGTTATATCTGATACCTCAATTTCTGGGTATATTTTATATTTTGATAACTAAATAAATGATTGATTTATTAAGATGTTATAGAGATATTTGTAGCCATAATCAGTTCAGTAATTATAATTCCATATATTTTATACGCAATAAGTAGTTAATAAAATTAAAAAAATCTATGTTTTACTCTAAAACTGGTAAAATTATTTAATGAAATAAGTCCATTTTTTTTCTACATTTGGAAAAATTAATTCTATGGCAAAAAACTAAATTGTCAATTTTACTCCTTATTATCAACAATACTAACAACATCTTTCGTTAAAAATCATAGATAAATTTAACTTTTCCATGAAAATTTCCTTCAATTCATAATCAATTTTTATTGTACCTATGTATTGCGACATTTTAAAGCATTTTTAATCTTATTTTGCTTAACAATCGTAATTCAGTCATCTCTTAAAGTTACTCATTCAAAACTTTTAATTTTTAATAATTAATTTTGTCTAACAAACTTTTTGTTTTAAAAATATAAAAAAAATTAAAACAATTTCTTGTAAAAATATATTCAATTTTTTTTTTTATAAAAAAAAAATTATTAAAGTTTCATTCTCATTTATTAGAAACAATTTAAGTATGGATGAAATTATCCAGCCAGTTTATATATTATGTGAGTAATTTTTTTATTGAACTAAAGTATTGTCAATGTTAAATAACATGATTGTGTCCATACAAAAAAAATTATTTATGGATTGTTTAATTATGAAATTACAGCTATAATGTTGCAGCTAATAACAGCTTTCTTTTAAATAAATTTTGTTTCTTTTAAATTTTGAAAAATAACTATAAAGTAAATTATTACTAATATACAATATTTTTTTATAGTTACTTGGGAAAATGTATGGACTGATTGTAAACGGATCGCTATAAAAGCTCTTAGTCGTAAGTACAATTATAAAATAGTTCATACACATAGTATGAGTTATAATAGTTTTTAAATATACAGTAAAATAAAATAAATAAATTTTAAGTTTTGCTCATAAGTGAAAATTATTTTTAATCGCATAAAATTAATAATACATTTATTTTTTGATTGACAGTTTTGTGGCATGTCTTGTACGCTATTAAAATATCAACAGTGTAAGTACTGTTTATTTTTTCGCGTTACTATAAATTAAATGAAAATTATTTAATTAGGTTTGCATTGACTATCATCGAGGCTTTCATTGAATATCTTGATGGCTCTTATGACAATTCTGCTGAAAATGACAATTCTGCTGAAAATGATATTTCTTATTTGGAAGCGTACGTGGAAACAGAATTACATACCCCAGTTGAGTCAAAAGAAAATGAAAAATTACCCCATAAAGTATTATTATATTTTTCAGTTAATGACACTTTACAGTAACATTTTTATCTATTTCTTATACAGCCTGAACAACAGAATAATTCAATATCACTGGATAGAACTAATGACGACGATAATACTTCTAGTGCTAATAATTCGTCGGTGGTTAATTTGGACGAAAAAAAGACACCTCCTGTTCCACATAAACAAAATAATGATTTTCTTCTAGACAAAAAAATGAAAAATGTATCAGACGAGAAAGCTCTTGCATTATCCATAAATGTGTGTAATAACACGATATATAATTTTGAGATTTTAAAATATTCAATTAAATTTTTACGAGATTATTTGAAGTAATTTATACAATGCAAAAAAATAATAATAACAACTACCATTGATATTAACTACTATTAATTTTTTCAGCCAACGTTTAAGCATAAAATATTTTCGAATTCACATATTTTGTACAATCTTATAAAAATTAATACTATACTCATTTATGTATTTCAGCACAATAGTAATGTAAAGCAACATCTTTCAACTCGGGATGAGAATAAAACAAAAATATTGACTTTAAAAAATCTACCTTATTTTCACATGATGATAAACCATATATATCTTCTTAGAGTGGTTTACACTACCAAAGATTGTATTTTAATGTTAAACGTAAAGAAAGAAAAAGCGATTAGATCACTTCAAGAACACATTAATACTCACTACATTTACAGTGTAGAGAGCAGTTATATCCCACAGGAAAATGAACTCTGTGTTGTTAAATATAGTAATATAAATTTTAAATTATTAATATTTGATTTTAATTCAGCATGTAGACATTATTCAATTATATTTCATTGGGTTTTATGAGTTAATAAACTACACGCTGTACACGTTAAATATAGAATGACGACCATCACCATGAAAAAAAAAATTGAACGTAGTCTAATAATGCGTCTTTATGCCGACAAATAAAAGTTTAAAGAGAATTAAAAAAAATAATTATTTCAACTTTAGGTGATGGAAAATGGTATAGAGGTGTTTGCAATTCCATTTACAAAGGCTATGATGGGAAACAGACTTTTTTGATTACGTTACTTGATTGGGGTAATCAAGTTATTACAAAAATATGTGACATACGTAAAATAGAGGAAAGTTTCCTACAAGAGAATCCTTTGGTAATCAAATGCACTCTTAAAGGTGGTACCTATTTCTAATTAAAATATTGAAAAGTTAACCTAGAATTTCAATAATATACATAACCAAATTACACGATTTTATCTAGATTTCATTATGTCTGAAGTACACGTACGGAATGCACGGAAACTTATCAATAAAGTTTTTTATTGCAATTGTCTAGCAAGACTTGGACCGTTAAGTTATGTAATATATTCAAGGGAAATTATAAGCGCATTAAATGCGTAGATAAATTAATCGTAAACCGTTGATACTAAAACTTTTTTTTCAATTGGTTTAAATTTTTCTTTTTTTATTCTTGGAAATATTTCTAAATATTTTGTTATATTTATTCTTAATTTTTTTCTTTTGATTTTGTACTTTTATTATTAGAGCATTCGCTTAAACCATCATTTACAAATTTTAGACTACTATTTATACACGTTTTGTTTTTAATATATGATTATATTCTTTCTAAAAAAATACATTGTTTCTTAATTAATAGTAAAAATATCTTAATTATAAAATTGTGACAAAAAGTGAGTAAAGCTTTATAAAATAAGTAAATACTGATTTATTTTTAAATATACTTCAAACTAAAAATTTTACAATGTTTAAATTAAAAGAAAAAATTGTTTTTAATATTATTCAGAATTATTCTGATTTACCGACGATAACAATTTGAAATATATAAGTATGTAAATAGTTTTCTTTCATTGATTAGGATGAAAATACAACGCCATTTACAAATGCATTTAGGCGTTCTTGTCAGAATCTGATAAGAAAATTACACCATTTGATTTTATTTTATAATGGAGATATTTTAATATGAAATTATTTGTTTTGCAACGTTAGAAAACCATTTAATATAGATAGCATTTAACTACTACGTATATTAACGTATAGATTTATACTCAATAGAAATACATAGACATAGAACGGCGTCAACTTTTGAATAAAAAATAAAGTGTCGGTTGCTCGCAGGAATTCTCACGTCCAACGAAAATCAGATCTTATTCCTTTATATTAAAAAAAGGTGATACTGTAGCAGCCGCCTTACATGCTTGATACAGGTATCATGCAGCCTGTAGGCTATGTTTGATGCGTTCAATGTACTAAGACGGCGACGATACGGCCGCCACTGTTTAGTGTATGAGCGAGTGTGTGAACGCCGATGGGTAAAGTAGATAAATAAGTAATATATATTATTAAAATATAATAATATATAGTTTTAGTCCGTGTTCAGTACTACGTATAATGTTGAATTGCATTCGGATGTAAGATATTGCAATGTCCACTTTTTATGTGTTTGTTTATTCGAATATAGAGCAGGACAAGATGGATACGTACAAGTTGAACAACGAGTTTTATTAATGTAAATTATTACAACTTTATGTTGAAAATTTTATGCTGGGAAGGATTTTTAAGGGTTTTTTTGGACTTTGTTTGCCAAACAAAAAACAACAAACAAAAAGATAAAACCTGTTTTTTTTCTTCAAAACTCACATAACGCCTCAAAAGTTGTCTCTAAAATACAACTTTTTTATTCTCGTAGGAATCTAATAGATTATTTGATGATAAATCAGTATCGGATGTAAATTACGAGGTTATACAAAGTCTTTATACTATTATAGGTAAAGTATAGAGATATATCATCGAAATCATGTTTGTAAATTTAGTAATTTACGGTTTATGTTTTGTGCGTACAAAACATCAAAAATGTAAATTTATAAAGCTACAAAAAACAAAAGTATTTCTTTTTGAAATTTCTCGGTGCAAAAATAAACGAAAAAATTGTTAATTTATCTTAGAAATAATTCAATTAACAAGAAATACATTTTTGGAAAGAAAAATACGTTTTAATTAATGAAAATTGATAGATAAACAGATAAATATTTAGTATTGAAAAATTGTTTAATATCGTAATTTTAAAACGTATTAAAAAAAATGGTATTTTTGGACCTTTTTTAAAAAAGTTATAAGCCTTATAATTCCGTGTACGGGAAAAATGAGATACGTATTCAATTACAACATTTGGAAAAATAAATTAAAAATCTACATGAAACATTATTTTTGTTTTAAAACAAAAATTATATTTTTACATGTAACTTAAAATCGCAGAATTGTGTATCACTAATGAACCTCGTCATAAAGAGTATAGAATAGAACTTTAATTTGAATTTAAATATTTTATGGTTAAATGTGATCAGTGAAAATATTTATTAAAATAAAGAGCACAATGGATGAGTTGAACATAGTATAAAAACAATTAGGATTCTTTCTGTAGGGAAGTCCAAATAGTTTTTAGAACGTAGAGTAGTAGGAGGATTCACTCCAAAATACAATGATTTTATGTTCATGGAAGGTTCACGGGAACTCATTCCTTGGTTGCGCCAGTTTATTTTGTGTAAAAATTGTAGAAATTTAATTCGCCTAAAATTAATAAAAAACTGCAACCAACTTAACACACATAGAATAAAGTTCTATACGTAACGCCTTATCCTTTAAATATTTTAACCAATACCAAATTATAATAATCAGAGTTTGATTTTTAAATAAATAAAGTTTAATTTAAATTTAAATAAGTTTAATAAATAAAATATATGTCTTTGTTTTTTATATTGCATAACATTATGAAATCATTTAAGTCATAGACATATTAATAAATTAACTATAAATATAAATAATTATGAAGAAATAAAATAATAAAGAAAAATACTGCCCATCAAAGTGGATATTTTTTTTGTTATTGTACTAAAATAAGATTAAAAATATAAAATAATGAAAATATGTCTTGTACTTTGAAATATAAAAAAAACATAAAATTTTGTATTTAGCTTATTGGTTTTCTGAAAAAATGTATAATTTACATGAGCTTTGTTAGTTACGTTTAAATATTTTTATTTATTAAAAATCATGTTCTGATTAATATAATTTGGAATAAGCTATAATATTTATGTAATTAAGTGTTAGGTGTAGACTTATTTAGTAGTGTGTAAAGTTGGTTGCCATTTTTTTATTTTCAGGCGCATTAGATTCCATTTTAAACGAAATACAAGGCGCTATCTCGTGAAGCTGTAGCAATAGCTCAAATGATAATCGGTAAAAACAGAGTTTTATATATTCTTTAGGCTATATATTATTTCACCACTAGATGTCTCGAATAAATCATTTTAATATAAAAAAAATAAATAATATCAGTCTTATTCATCTCAATGATTTATTGAAATTTACTAAAAAGGTATTAAAGATTTTTTTGTATGGCAAAAACTATTAGATTGTAACAATATTTATTAAATTTTAAATTATAATTCTGTCAGGACAACTCTAAACTAAAAACACTAATTAAACGAAAAAATACATCACAAGCTTTTAATCATAGCAATGTTTTCTGAGTGATTAATATATTTGTTTTGGAACTATATGTTCGTATACATTAACTAATTAAATCAAACAAAAACTTTTTATAGTAACAACTTTCATAATAGCAATATTATATAAGTTAATTGTAATATAATTACGCCTTAAAAAAAAACATTATTTGTAAGCTTAATCTTTAATTAAGCTGTATACTTTAATCTTATACTTTATTCTTAATACTTTATGTATACTTTATTAAAGTATTTTATTTTTCACAAAATAATTATTCAGTGGCTATATTTGTTATTCTCACTAAATTGTTAATTTATTTTCAAAATACAATCTTTAAAGAAGTTTTCAATGGACACTAAAATTTTTATTTCTTACTTGTAAACAAAACAAGTCAGTGTTTAGAAATGAAATGCTAATGAAGCTATAAAATTAAGCAGAATCACCTTACGTGTCATTGAAAATAATCATGATCACGAATTTGTGATAAGCCCTTTGAGTAATGTTACTATTTTTAACCGTTGGCGAATTATCCATTAAATACTGATAATAAACCAATATCAACTTTAAAAAATCTTAATATACTAATAAATTATTATTGAAATGAAGATCTTACAAACAAGTTATTCTTTGTTTTGCATTCAACGCCAACTTATTTCCCTGAAACACTAAAAACAAACCCACACGATTTTGTACGTAAATAAAAATTACTACACTTGGACATTTTTTTAATGAAACAACAATATAATCAAAACAACTGGTTTGAATCATTTTTGTTTCTACAAATAAAACTCGTTTTATAAATAAAATTTAATGATCATATTTATATTAAACTAATTAAACGTGAAGTTAAAAATTGCCGTACTTTGAATTAAAATGTTATAAATAATCAAATATTGCAAATTCTTTTGAGAAAAGTCCATTATCTAAGAACCCATAAATTAGTCTTATCACATAAGTTTTTTTGTCAAATTTATTTACACCTATTATTTTATTATAATTTAAAAATTTTTCGCGTTTCGCAATCTCATTTTTGGAATTTAATTGCATTGCATATAGTCGAAAAGAGAATTTATTGATTTGTAAATAACCAGTTTTATGTAAGTAGTTCACGATTCGTTGGCTTTTTAAATGTGAACTGCTGAGTTACCATATAATTATATTTGATCCGCGAATCGATTAACTCCGTCCAGTATGACTGGACGGAGTTTTTAAATTGATATATTCAAAACTGCTTGTCGATACGATTTTATTATCTTATTTGTCTGAATACAAACTGTTACTTAGTAGTATAGACCGGACGACGTTTTCAAATTGATTTGAGGTTTCAGGAATGGTTTATAATATTATTTTAAAACAAACTACTGAGGTACAAATTGACACATTAAATAATGGATACGTTTCGTTTAACTGTCGACAACTGTTGCTATTAGCTAAAATTCAAATCATATTATTATAAGGTTACAAATTACAAATTTAGCGTATGTGATTATATCATTAAAGGACGCAAAATAAAAAATTTCAAACCTAATGAAATTTTATAAGAAAGCTTTCACATTATATAACACTGTTCGCCATTCAAAGCCAATTGCAATACGTGCACCGAGTTTAAAATTATCGTTCGTTTTCGCTGTCTTTTGACAGTATTTGAAAAAATTATCTCAAGGTTCAATTTTTTTGACCTGTATCTTATAAAATAAAAAATAGTTGAATTATAGCTGTTGCGAAATTCTATCTACTTGAGCTTGTCACGTCATAAGTGTTTTTTGTCTTGTAGAATTGCTTACAATTCCCCTGCGTGTTGCTCGAGCTGTCCAAGTTAGAATAAATGTTTTAAAGATGCCATAAAAGATTTTTAAGAAATTCAAAAGTAGGGAAAGGAAACAGTTCTCACTAATTTGTCCGTTTCGTTTGTAAATGTGTACTGCTCAGTACATTTTTATTTGAACTTTGTAAATTATCATACTCCTTCAAAGTGATACATTAAACAGTTTTTTTTATGTGATATGAAAAAATAGCTACTTTTATGAAACCTTACAAGTAGACAAAAATAAATGTTATTTTTATAAATATTTATCGAATGTGTTTGATGATACAATA